CAGATGCTCCAGTCCATCTCGGAATCTACCAATGGACAGTTTATTTGCACCACCTTCCGTCCTGAAATGTTGCATGTGGCAGAGAAATGCTACGGTGTCAGCTTCCGGCAGAAGGCTAGTACGATTGACGTTGTGTCTAGAGAAGAGGCGCTCAAGTTCGTTGAGGAGCAGAAGACTTAAGAATAGCGCACCTGGACGGTGACCAATGACTGAACTTAATTATCCGAGTTTCTTCTACTCACTTGCTGGATTGGAGGATAGCAGGCGCACTATTAATAACATTTCTGCTATGGAGATCAGATTATATCCCTATTTTCGTTTGCGGTATCGGGCTGCTTTGTTTGTCGGGCATCTGTCTATATGTACTTTAAACTTAACCTAGTCTTCTTCCTCTACTTTCAGCCCTGGCATTTCATCAAGTCGAAGATCTATTCATTAGCATCATGACATCTAAATAGGAGATATAGCCTCGGTCTGTCTATGCATAGAACTCCATATAGAGTCCTAATTGGGAAGCCCGTCGCGAGGCGGTTCCTGCGTCCACTCGAAGAGGATGCTCTCCGGCACATCCCTGACAAGAACATGGATATGTTCCAGACTCCTCACACTCTGCAGTGCCGTCCAATTCTTGAACCACAGCACATGATCCTTAGGGTTGTTATACCCCTCCCTCGCCAGCCGCTCCACAAACGTCCTTTGCACAAACTCCTCGATCAGCGCGCGACTCTCATCCGTCAAGTCTCCACCGTGTTCCTGGACAGGCACAGGGGTGCGCAGCCACACGCACAAGTGCGCAATACCCGGGGCAAAACCGTATGGCCAGTCGTTGCGGAGGATCTTGTAATCCGAGGGATCGGCAAAAGGGATCGGGTTGTTGTAAGGGAGGACCGGCTCGCTGTCTGCCACGGCGGTGCCGCTGGAGTCACTGGTGCCAGCGGGTTCCGGTAAATGCCAGCCCAGACGACGCTTGCAGATGAAATTTGTGATGGAGCCGTATTGGGCCTTGGTGTCTCTGGACCAGGAGAGGTATCGGACTAGATCGGATGGTTTCCGCTTCAGAGCGCCGAGATCATTTCTTGCTGTGTGCGGGGAAAAGGCGAGCTATCAATAGGTACTCCCGTTATGTGTTTGTGATGCGGAACCGGAAGTGAGTGGTCGAGGAAGTGGAGAGGAGGAATGAGGGGGAGGGGAACTCGATGGGGGGGTGGTTGGGGGGGTGGTTGCCATCACTTGTTGATCGATCTATCAAGTACTAGGTAGGGTCTGGATCTCATACCGATGATATCTTTGAGGTTGTCCCAGTCGTGGGGGACGAATTGGTCGTCTGTCATGGCCAAGACCTCCCGGTCGGTGTCGGTGAGGTTAAAGGCAGGAGGTTCAGACGTTGTATCCATTATCGCTTTGAGAGATATCGTTTCTTGAGGTAAGCAAGACTTGATGTGATGCCGGAAATATTGTTCAAGACGGGCAATTATTAGTCTAGATATGGCTCAGGATCACTCGCACGAGGAATCCGACGGCTTACCCCAGGAAAGGAAAGCAAACCCCAACGCGCCTCGGATTCCGCGCCTGGTGCTACAGCGGAATTGCAGGGGAATCCTTGAGCTGAGCTGTTGTTTATCGTGAGATCTGAGCTCAGTTATACAATAAATTATGGTTTGGACCCTGTATTCCTGCGTACACATGATATCTACATCCAACTTAAATCTTAAAAAGGATATGGGGTCAACAATGGGACGTTGAGGGGATGTCAGTTACCGCCAGCTCCACCCCAGCAAAGATAAAATAAAACAGAACCCCGGCTGCCGAGCCATCTCCGTCGTGGATCTCTCTTTTTCCCTTCCCTTGCCCCCAACCGCACCTCTCCAGTTCTCCTTCCTCCTCTCCTTCTTTATCTTCAACCATTTTTACCAACCGGAGGATTGTCCGAGATGAGGTATATACTTTCTTCATCTTCTGTCCTCGTCAATTCCAATTTTGTGGGCATCTAGATCTAGCTAATATTCCTCATCACATGTCGCAGTGCATTGTCATCTGAGAATATCAATGGGGTCTACATCCCCTCGGCCCTCCTCATCTTCGGCACTTTTATTGTGAAGAAGGAGTTTGTCCCATATGCAGTGGCTCTGACCGCTATCCTGGCTGGATTGAAGCTGTTCACAGGCGGCAGCAGTACGTGCATCTGTTTCGGACCACAACTAATTTCAACGTACTGACAAACAATCTCGCCTCGGCAGAGCCCAGAAAAGTTCTCAACCCTACCGAGTTCCAGGAATTCGTTCTCAAGGAGAAAACCGACATCTCGCACAATGTTTGCATCTATCGCTTTGCCCTCCCCCGTCCCGCCGATATCCTGGGTTTGCCCATTGGTCAACACATCTCCCTCGCTGCCACTATCGAGGGCCAGCCGAAAGAGGTTGTCCGCTCCTACACTCCCATTTCTTCGGACAATGAGGCCGGTTACTTTGATTTGCTCGTGAAGGCCTATCCCCAGGGTAACATTTCCAAGTACTTGACCACCTTGAAGATTGGCGATACCATGAAAGTGCGCGGTCCCAAGGGTGCCATGGTCTACACTCCAAACATGTGCCGTCACATTGGTATGATTGCTGGTGGTACTGGTATCACCCCCATGTTGCAGATCATCAAGGCCGTTATTCGCAACCGCCCCCGCAATGGCGGCAACGACACCACCAAGTTGGACCTGATCTTCGCCAATGTCAACCCAGATGACATCCTCCTTAAGGAGGAGCTGGATAAGCTGGCTGCCGAGGATCCGGACTTCAACATCTACTATGTTCTGAACAACCCTCCTCAAGGCTGGACCGGTGGCGTTGGATTTGTTACTCCCGAGATGATTAAGGTTCGCATCATTCCTCCGCATGTTGACTAGATTGGTTCTCTTGCTGATACTCATATCTTCCACAGGAACACCTCCCTGCGCCTGCCAGCGACGTTAAGATTCTGCTCTGCGGTCCTCCTCCTATGATCAGCGCGATGAAGAAGGCTACCGAGTCGCTCGGTTACACCAAGGCTCGCCCCGTCAGCAAGCTTGAGGACCAGGTCTTCTGCTTTTAGGTTACGAAAAGCGATGCGAATCTTGATATCCATGCTTGTCTTTTGAGCCTGGTTTCGTTTGCACGTTTTGCATTCCGAGAGCAGATGTCTTGGTCAGGCGTCCGCTCCTCCTATAGTATATGTCTGTGAAACTCTTCGATAGAGCTGTCTGGCTGGGCAGGGAAACAGCTTCATGAGTCAGTGATTAGATCAAAAGCATTGTACGGCCCATAGTGAGAGCCGCGGCGCTGTTGTATTAGCATGAACTACGATTATGAGGTGTATCTAGGTACTAATATCTGTTGTATCATTTGCCGCACGGCTAGGATCATTCTCATTCTCAAGATCAATGCACCTCCAGCAGCTCATCGACCATGTCCAAGAATTTCTGTCGGTATTCGTCTGCCGTCGTTGTGATCGTCATGGGCCCCTGGCGCCCGATAACATTAAAGGTTTGCACCACTGTAGTCATAGCCTGCGCATGCAGCTTGTGTTTCGCCCAGAAGAAATCCAAGATTACCGCGCGGTACTTCCACTTCCCATCAAGAGACTGGAATCCTACGCGCCAAGGATTTTTCTTTCCCACCACGCCGGGATTGGAGGACGCAGGGTAACGGATCAGAAAGAGTGAGTAGTCAACAGCATTTGCTGACTGAAGGAAGCGAGTGTCGGCTTCGAGTACTTTTCGAAACCTTTCATAATCCGACTGCCGCATGTGTATCTTATCCTCAAACTTATCAGCTAGCCTATTCAGGGTCTCTTCGCTGACCAACGGATCCGGTAGTAAGTCCCGCTCCGGGTAGAAGTAATCGATTGGTTTCAAATCATACGTCTCCCAGTCGTCCTTGGCAGAGTCCTCGTCCTTCCCGACTAGCATATTCTCCATGATGATATGATGGGCCGGCGTGGTCTTCAAGATGCTTCCGATGGTTCTGTATGGTGCATACACATAATCTGTTATCCAGACCAGGATTGAGTCTGCATGAGTGCTCATGTACTCGTAGTACGGTTCGAGGAGGTCTTCTCGGAAGAAGGAGTGTTCGAAATGTCGCGGGAGACTCTTGACGAGAAACTTGTTGTTGGATGTGGAAAAGAATGTCTACACTATGTTAGACTCGAGCACCGCTCACCCGTATGTTGTTTCCTAGTCAACATACTGATCCGGACAACCCCAAATCCCCCATCGGCTTCAATGGTAGGGTCTTTTTCTCGCTGAGGAAACACGCTTTGTACTCCACCTCGTCGATCTCCCAGACATCATTGCGAAGCTTGCGGAACAGTTCGTCGCGGTACCTGATGAGTCTGATATAGAAGATACTGAAGAATGCTAGGATACGTCCAAGCAGTGACTTGCGAAACGCTTTCGGGTCACGAAACAGCGCAAGCTGGATGGACTTGGCCAAAGCTGAGTGACGGCGACTTCCTGTCATGGTTAAAATGCTGTTTGCTTAGTCGCATAATCAGCCAGGGCGGCATTGTGAGTGACATATTTGAAGCGTCGCGAAGATTGCTCTTGTACCTCTGGTACAATATCGGGAACAGGTTGTTGAAGTCTGGTGACGTCAGCAGCGATGCCCAGCCTGCGAGTAGGGCTCAGATTGCGCACGTGATACTGGAGAGGAGACTGGTTGAGTCACCGCCTTGGGCAGAAGCTGAATTGCCGCTTTGAGTCAACGAAGGAAAAAGTTGTTCCCCTCGCGAGGTTTAAAGATTCCCCTCCGTCTATGGGTCGTTATCTGCTTAGCGGGGCCCGGCGATTTTCAAGCGACATTTTTCTGACTGTTCGATCCTACAGTCCACTGCAAAGTCGCTTTCCTTCCTACTTTCGTACCTCTACTGATCTTCAATTTAATACCCCACGTCCGTCCCTCTACCCTCGAGCCTTCGGTACCTCCGCTTCGCTGTACGCGCTCTCCGGGAAGCCCTCGAAATTAGTCGCAGCTATGGCATCTGCCGCTGACCTTCCTGTCGCCGTTGAGGGCCTGACTCTCCAGTCTACCGCTGAGACCTCCAAATTCCCCAACTGCTACCCCTCGTTAAATCCTGTCGACGCCTACAGAGTGCACATTGCGGAGAAGCTGGGTGCCGCAGCTGGCATCGAGCCCGAGAAGCTTTACCCCAAGCTGCAATGGACCAATACACTGGACAAGGGTGACTTGGTTCTGCCGGTACGGACTATGCGTGATCCACCAAGCTAGAGACAAGGGACGAGCGAAGGTTAACATAGGTCAATGCCCTAGGTTCCATCTTTGCAAATCAAGAAGAACCCCCAAGAACTGTGCAAGGAGCTTGCAGAGAAGTTCCCCGAGTCCGATCTAGTTGCGCCTCCTGTACCCTTTGGCGTTCATCTGCAGTTCTTTTTCAAACCCGAACCTCTCACCAAGACCGTCATTTCCCGTATTCTGAAGGAGAAGGCTACATTCGGTACCAATGGTAACCAGGGTCTGCGAGACCCCGCGGATCCTTCCAAGGGAAAGAAGAGAATCATTGTCGAGTTCTCGTCACCTAACATCGCCAAGCCCTTCCATGCTGGTCACCTTCGGAGTACCATCATCGGAGGTTTCCTGGCGAATCTCTACACCGTTATGGGTTGGGACGTCATCAAGATGAACTACCTTGGTGATTGGGGAAAGCAATATGGTCTCCTTGCCAACGGTTTTAAGCGCTTTGGTAATGAGGAGGAGCTGCTCAAGAACCCTATCAACCACTTGTTCGATGTCTACGTCAAGATCAACCAGATTGTTGCCCAGCAGGAGGGTCCTATCAAGGAGTTGAAGGAGCAGATCAAGGCCAAGAAGGAGAAGAATGAGGATGTGTCTGTGCTCGAAGCTGAGCTTGCCAAGCTCGTTGATGTTAGCGAGGACGAAAAGGCTCGTCGTTACTTCAAGAGCATGGAGGATGGGGACCAGGAAGCTCTCGCCCTCTGGCGACGATTCCGTGACCTCAGTATCGAGAAGTACAAGCAGACCTATGCTCGTCTCAACATTGACTTTGATGTCTACTCTGGAGAGTCTCAGATCAAAAACGAGAGCATGACCGCCGCCTACGAGGCTATGGAGAAGGCTGGAGTTTCCGAGAAGTCCGAGGGTGCTGTCATCGTCGACTTCACCAAGCACGGCGCTAAGAAGCTCGGAAAGGCCATCATTGTCCGCAAGGACGGCACTCCTCTGTACCTGACCCGTGATATTGGAGCTATCATGGAGCGTGATGAGGCCTACCACTTCGATAAGATGATCTACGTGGTCGCCGCGCAGCAGGATCTCCACTTGGCTCAACTCTTCAAGATCACAGAGCTGATGGGCCGCAAGGATGTGGCCAGCCGCTGCCAGCACATCAACTTCGGTATGGTCCGTGGTATGAGCACCCGTAAGGGTACTGTCAAGTTCTTGGATGACATCCTGAGGGATGTTGCGGACAAGATGCACGAAGTCATGAAGGGCAATGCCGAGAAGTACGCGCAGGTCGAGAACCCCGAAGAGACGGCGGATATTCTGGGTTTGACCTCGGTCATGGTACAGGACATGACCGGAAAACGGTGTGTATATTTCGCTCCTCACCTTGGTTAGCCGACGACACTAACAGACTGCAGTATCAACGGTTATGATTTCAACCTTGATGCGATGACCTCATTCGAGGGTGACACCGGTCCTTACCTGCAGTACGCGCATGCCCGTCTCTGCTCCATTGTCCGCAAGTCGGGCCTGAATGTTGAAGAGCTGGACTCTGCCAACCTTGACCTTCTGACGGAGCCACACGCCGTCGACCTCGTCCGTCTGCTGGCGACCTGGCCGGATGTGCTGCTGAACACTACCAAGACGCTTGAGCCAACCACCATCCTCACCTACCTGTTCCGTATGACACACATTCTCAGCTCCAGCTACGACGTGCTCAAGGTCGTGGGAAGCGAGCCCGAACTTAAGAAGGCCCGTATGGCGCTGTACGAGGCGGCCAGGCAAGTATTGCACAACGGCATGAGGGTTCTGGGTCTCAGCCCTGTTGAACGGTACGTGATCGCCTTGAATCTAGGAAGACGACTTGGACTAACATTTTACCCTTTTTTCCAGCATGTAAATGGCCCAATGAAAGAGAATATGAATACTAAAATGAAGACTTCTTATTACTGAATACCAAATATGTTATCGCTCTTGCTTATGTACATGTCAGGCATCAATCTCACGTAAGCCTGCAAACCAGATATACCAACGCGGTTCGAAGAAACTTCGAACAGAGGCTTCAGTTCAACACAGTAGATTGAGTGATCGAGACATTCCAACGCTTGGAGCAACAATTCAATAATCTAGATGAAGGAGGGTTAGCACAAACAACGGGCAAGACTACCAAAAGCAACCATACATAACGCAGCCATTCTCCGCTAGTCACTGGAGGAATAGCAAAAGCCAGGGTCAGTTCGGGCTTCAAATTCACTCTGTTCTAGAACTGTGACCAACAGACTGTAGCGTTACATGCCGCTTACTGCACAATGCCCACAGCGGGCGCAGTAAGTGGCTAACGGTCATTACTCGTTACCATCTGCATAGCTTGCTAGCACTACGGCTAAGACCGAGACTACTGTATTATCATCTCCAGCAAGGGTCATGATTAGCCGCCCCGTTGGTCGCTCAGCTGCTAAGTAGCTGCATATTTTTCCACGTCGTGGCAGTCCTCAAGTGTACTTTGTGTGTCAGCGCGCAAGGCACATACATGCTGTACCACGATCACCTCGAAGATTAGCATGGTAAGGGGTATCGGACGAGATCAGCGGACAAATTCCTCAGTCCGAGACGGGGTTATCAGATTTGGAAAGAATGAATTATAGACCGATAGATCCCATGGATAACGAGGTGGTAGACGGCGACTGGGCCTGGAATGGGATACCTGAGGCTCCGTCGGCGTCTCGGGGTCTTCGGGGTGGATGTTCTTCTACCTTGATGGGCTGTGGGTAGTATCAATCTACGGAATGAGCTGCATGAAATCTAGTCGACTGTGGCTGCGAACCATTGATCTCATCACACATCGACCCTTGTTTTACTTAACTTTAAGAATCATTAAAAAAATGTCATATCTCCCTCCGCTGTCTTCTTTAGTCCCGCTCTTCTCTCCGTTTATACTTCCAACCGCAAAGTCACCTGACTCAGTTGTTGTTCACCATGGGTACAGATATGATCGGTCCTGACCTGGAGAGAAACGATAGAGACCAGTTTCTGGTCAATCGTACAGTCCACAACTTCGCCTGGAATGACTTGACGGTCACCGTCAAGGACCGCCGGACGAAGAAGCCGCTCAACCTGATTGAGGGTATCAGTGGGAGTATTCAGCAGGGTATGCTATTTCCATACTATTATTGCTGCTATTTCCATACTATTATTGCTGCTATTGAAACTGGCGGGGCTGACATTTGCCAAAGGTGAACTGGTTGCTTTGATGGGCCCCTCGGGATGCGGCAAGACGACTTTGCTAAATGTGCTCGCACGCCGGGCAGCTACATCGGGCGCGAAGACCACAGGGGAATGCTACGTCAATGGAGGGGCGCTCGACAATGCCACCTTTGGTCGGATCACTTCGTACGTGGAGCAGGAGGACGCTCTGATCGGCTCGTTGACGGTGCAGGAGACGTTGAAGTTTGCTGCGGATCTCTCGCTGCCAAGGTATGCTTCCAATCATCGTTCTCTGTGCTACAAGGCTTACGGACAGGGGCCTGCAGCTCTGTTTCAAAAGCGCAGCGACGTGACCGTATTCAGACTCTATTGGAGTCCTTTGGTATTCTAAATCAAGCTGCGACGCTGGTTGGAACTCCAATCCGAAAGGGTATCAGCGGAGGTCAGAAACGGCGAGTAAGCGTCGCAAGCCAACTGATCACCTGTCCGAAGATTTGTTTTCTGGATGAGCCGACTAGCGGTCTGGATTCGACGGCGAGTTACGAGGTGATTTCATACGTCAAGGAATTGGCGGTAGCCAACAATGTAAGACGAATGCCGTTACTGGTGGGAGACTGGACTGACGCAGGTCTCGCAGCTCATCGTCATCGCAAGTATCCATCAGCCGTCGACAACCACATTCCAGCTCTTCGACAAATTGCTTCTTCTGTCCAAAGGCAAGACCTGCTACTTTGGCCCCGTTCCTCAGATATCGACCTATTTCGGCAGTATCGGGCATCCCATCCCGTTGAACACGAATCCCGCAGAGTTCATTCTCGACATTGTCAGCTCCGACTTCTCCGATACAAAAGAAGGCAATGCCGCGGAGCGAGTGCAGCATATCCAGGAATCCTGGTTGCAGTCCGCCGAGCGGAGGGCCGTGGACAACCACATCTCGCAGTTGATCAAGCACCCCGAGCAGGACGGGAAGAAGATCACAATGGGGGAGCTCTCTCGGCCAAACACTACGAGTATCACCTGGTCACTTTTGCACCGCTCTTTCATCAAGAGCTACCGCGACGTTGTGGCGTATGGCATCCGCATCGTCATGTATCTGGGTAAGTAACTGTCCCGGGAACCATGCTCAGGAGCAAGCTAACTCAAGCTAGGGCTGGCCATCATGATGGGCACTGTCTGGCTACGCCTACATGAATCACAAGAGTACATCCAGCCCTTCATCAACGCAATCGTAAGTAATTCTTGCTCCTCTTCCGAATGACGCTCACACTTCGATGTCCAGTTCTTCGGATCCGCGTTCATGAGCTTCATGGCCGTAGCCTACGTGCCCGCCTTCCTCGAGGACCGCGCAACCTTCATCAAAGAGCGAGCAAACGGCCTCTACGGCGCCCTCCCATTCATAATCTCCAACTTCATCATCGGCCTTCCCTTCCTCTGTACGTCCCCTCCTCTTCCCCCACACACCTTCCCCTCCCTTCAATCTAATTGCCACTGCACAGTCCTAATCTCAATCCTCTTCTCCCTCGTCGCCTACTGGCTCTCCAACTTCCGCTCCGACGCAGTCGCCTTCTTCACATGGGTCATGTGGCTCTTCCTCGACCTCCTAGCCGCCGAATCCCTCGTCGTCTTCGTCACCTCCATCTTCCCCAACTTCGTCATCGCGCTTGCCCTCGTCGCCTTCGCTAACGGCCTCTGGATGAGCGTCGGCGGGTTTCTAGTCTCCCCGACTATTCTTAACCCGTTCTGGAAATATGTTTTTCATTATATTGATTATCAGGTACCCCCACCCATCCTTTTCCAAGCTGCAGATTGTGGAAGGCATGTTGCTGACTACCGCTAGGCATACGTCTTCCAGGGCATGATGGTCAACGAGTTCTCGCGCAGGACGTACTCCTGTGGCGACGGGTGCCACTGTATGTACCAGACCGATCTTGCATCGCAGTGCCGTATCCGAGGAACCGGTGTGCTTGAGTCGTATGGGTATGCGACTGGGCGGACTGGGAAGTGGGTGGGAATATTGATCGGGATTATTGCCGTGTATAGACTGTTCGGCTGGATTGCCCTGGTTCTGAGACGGAGTTGAGCTGTTGCGATTGTACTTGGGGTTCAGTGGTTTCTTGGCTTGTTTCCTTGCTGCGATTTCGTTTATTGTCTATATATAGAGTTATCTCGGTTGGTGTGATTAGAGACTAGGACCTTTTATATTCAGGTGAGGTTTATCGATGTGATCCATTGAATTAATCGTATTGAATATGGAATGCACCGACTGGTTTCTACAAACCTATCGGCGGTATAATTGTATCAAAAGACCGGTCGTCCGGGCTTGTGTTAAATGGCGAAGAGTATTCGAAAGGGATGGCCTTGGAAGGGGATGAAATAGAAGGAAAAGTACATCACGACTTCGAGGTGAGAAAACTGACCATCCACCGACTACGAGTAAAGTCGGGACCCTCAGGTAAAGCACAAGTAGGAGAAGAAAGGTACAGGTATCGCTAATGGGACATGAAAACTCGAAATTAAATAGTCATTGGCGACGAACAAACAACTCGGGGTATACCTTCTCCGTCGATTCTAACTTTGTCTTCAAATGCTGATAACCACGAAAGACAACGCAAACAGACAGACATGCATAAGGAAACACATGAGGGCCATCCAAGGCGATTATACAAACCAACGACACTCGCAGAGGGGCATGACGGAGCATAAACATAAACGCATCAACATGAATCATTGCAGGTCATCAGAATCGTACAATCGTTTCGCCGTGATGGGCGTGATCGGTCGGAGTCATTTGACACCATCCATCCTCTGCGCGTAAAATCAAACAATAGAAACAAAGAGCCGCCCCTTAACCAAAAAAAACCACGGAAATGCAATGAGATCTTTTCGAATCATCAGCGAGCCTCCCCACTTTTTCGATCAAAATGACAAGCACGGATGGATCATAAGGTGGTCGGCGATCTCGGTGATTTCCGAACCCATTTTTTCTTCCCGTAAACAAAACCCGAACCTAAAAGAAAGCAGAGAAACTTTTGGTAAACTGCTTCACCACCTGTTCCTGGCAGAGTTGCTTCTGCACAAAGCATAGACCTTGAGGAGGTAGGCAATTCGAGCAAGAAAGAAACGTCTATAAGTGAGCTCAACCAAGAGAGATGACAAGACAAAGCATCAAAGGAGGACAGCGGGCGTCAAGGCGAGGTGGCCTAGTATCGCCCGCTGTAAGTCGATCGACTGGATCGGTGACTGGCCTTGTCGGACCGCCGGTCACCTCGGGGACGCCGCGCGTCTTCCAGTTCCCTTCGGGAAACGCTGCCAGTATAATCGGAGCCGCCGGTGAGATACTTCTTCGGTCGCTTGCCCTCGATGTTCAGCTCAACCGCTCCCGTGTCGCCAGTCCGGACGCTGATCCTCTTTCCCCCGACAGACTTTTGAGTGAAACTCATAGTCACACCATTCATGGTCATGACAATGTTATCGTCTTCCTCCGGCTTGGCCTCGCCGCTGCTACCATTTTGAGTGCGAGCATCACTACCTCGGCTGCTACGGCTCTTCTGACTTCCGCTGTCACTTTCCGCACGCTGCGATGTTTTGGCTTTGCGCAGGGCATCCGCGGTAAGTGGCACCGCTACGGCTTTGCCTGACCTCGACGCCTGATACTCTTCCGCCTCTCGCTGCTTATCCTCGATATCGCCGCCTGAATTGTAGTCATAGACAGTTGTCCGTTGGCGACGAGCACCTTCGATGGCAATCCGAGCCGGGCGCACGGAGTCATGATAGGACGTAGAGCGTCTGCTACCCCTCAGACTCTGGCTTCGCTCGGGAACCACGGTCTCGCGTGAAGACCGCCGGTATCCGTAGCTCGGAAGCGCGTCTTCCATCTCCG